ATCTGTTTCTTTTGCCACGTGTAGGAGTTTCACCAGCCTGGGGTATGGAGGAATCCTTGAGGTAGTTGCCAGACAAGAGTCTAAGCCTTCAGGCACACTTGGATCTTTTCACTTTTAAGTAAGGCCATCATTAAAACATGAGCAGACATAATTGCATCATAGCACTGGGCAGAATTGCAGGCAGGTCTGGATGTCCTTAAGCACAAGGTTTTATAATATGTTTGCCTGATGTTCATTGTCTTCTTTCTGCAGCTCTCCATGCACAGTACCAAACTCAGAAATTTTAGCCTTGCCTTTTAGAACAATAAGGTTAGCTTATAAGAGTTGCAGTGAGATGCACTACAAAGCTGAGAATACCCAGAAGACCCCATTATGAAACTACCGTGTTTAATTTTAGGCTTTTAAACCAAAATGAAAGTATTATAATGAAAGAAACTCGTTTCATAGGTGTGGACCATACTAAAAATGAACCAATTTCAGTGGAAGATAAGTTAGTTTGAAAAATCAGGCAACTACACTTGACTTTCAGGAAAAATATTTGAATGCTTTGTCATTAATTTTCTGTCTGTCATATCTGATTTAAATAATTTAAAATCAGATTTTCTCTCCAACTTGAAACTTACTTTCTTCAGCAAAGGGAAATTACACAACTTTCTTAGATTTTTCAGAGACTTTAACTTGCAGAGAAATAAAGTCCACCAAAATTAGAGCAAGGGGAGTGACTGATAAAAATGTAAGATGAAGTAGAAGATAATATCTCTCAGACTTTTTATACTCATTACCTAAATTGAGGCTAAAAAATAGAACCTCACAGGAGCATGGCAAGGTGGGCTGGTCAGAAATTTTCCAGAAAATGGTTTCTCTTAATAAGCTTCATGGGAAAATTAACAGGCTCTGCATATCCCTATCTGTGGAGAAGAATACCTTTATCAGGAACTGAAAGCAGAGTTGCCATGAGACTCTGCAGCACCATTTCACTGAAAAGGGTTGGCTTTTTTTATAAGAAATACGTTATTTTAAAAAAAAAATGCCATATTTGATGATTAGTAGTACATAAGAGACTAAACTGTAAAGGAGATAGACCCCTAACTTATCCCACAAAATCCTTTTCCTATGAAGACTAGTTTTCAGACCAGAAGTTTAGGATTCTGATCAGGATTAAATACCCATATCTAGCTGTTTCAACATAAGTTGGATGTCTAAGCTTCCCATGTAGTCAATTAAGATCTAGGACAAGGTATAGCTGAGTAAACAGTAGCATGCAGCATCTTTTTAGATGCTATTAGGTATGCCATCAGTCCATGTCTGCTTTAAAAAGGTGCTGTTCTCCTGTAAGCGCTCTGCTTTACCTGCTCACCTGATGCAGATGTCTTGTTATAATAGGGCATCTCAAATAGCTCCAAACACACATTTTTATTCATCTTGATGGAGCCCTCAGTGTAGCCAGAAGAATGGTGCATCTCACCATAAAGGAAACACGTCCATTTCATGCGCTAAATCTTTTTCCAGACTTCTTTGACTCTATTGAATAAAGCCCCAGGGCTTAATTCAGTTACTTAAACATTGGTATCTTGTGTCACGTGAGATTCACAAGGGTAACCTGCCTGGAGTCAAAACACTGAGAAGCAAGGTAGACTTAAGTCTTCTATCATATCTAGTAAATCTGTGCAGATTTTTCAGATGTCATCGTTCATCTCAAATCACTGTAGACTCTTACATGTAGGAAACTACATTAAGTCCCCTTTGATGGTAATGGGAATTTAGGCACCGTTGAAGTACACACCTACAAGTTGGCACCTACATTTATGTACCTTGACATCAGATTTTATCTCATTCTGGAATTTTCTACAGTATTTTTCAGCATTTGAGAACATTAAAGATTTCTATCCTTGTTTTTAGCTGTATAGAGCATTTCTGAGACAATCCCTGGAAAGTTTCACTGTAGTACTCCCACGTTATTCTTCAGGGTGTATTGAGCTATCAGATGAACATAGTACTATTCCTTTTGCTCAGGAGTCAAAAGGTTCAAAGAGAGCAAGCCAGAAGATTTCTTTTCTATTCAATCCTTTGTTAAACTTACTATTTGCATCTACTGGAAATGAATGATTGCAGATACTACCAACTTTTAAAATTGATAAACTAGTTTCTTTTACATGCAAGATCATAAATACTTTTATATATGTCTCTGTATAGTCAGTTCCCCAAATCAAGACCCAGAAGAGCACACAAGCAGTGTAAAAATCATGAGAGATTATAACTAGTAATGATACACTTGAATTTCCTTTTTCTGTTATTGTAAGCTCCATCACATTTTCATTTTTCTGGACTTATGAAGGCTAGAAATGATGATAAAATGCAATACAAAATCTTGAAATCGCTTGACGCATAAAAGGACTTGAAAGGGTTAAAAATAATCTTATTTATAAGCTAATGCTGATCTTGTTTTTACTACTATTAAGAAGGATGATGATAATGATGATTTTTATTTTCCTGGTATGCCAGGTATTTCTAAAAAAAAAAATACTGAAGCAAGGTATGTTTACCTCTTTTTAATGCTAAATGTAAAAGATGCAGCTATTACTACAAGCTCAAACTTCAAGAGTCCAAACTTCAAGAGTCATGTGGCATTATTAATTGATGTCTGCAAAATAGTTCTTGTAAATATTTAATTATCATTTTCCTCTCATTGCTAACTGGGGATAAACATAAATTCCTGCTTTTAAAAGTGCCTGGAGACTGGTGGATAAGTATTCTCAAAGCGAGTTATTTGTTAATAGCCTTTGGGAAACCTTTTATAAAAGACTGGGCCACTCCCAATCTGAAATGGAGAGATACTTCCAAACGGAGCTCTCATTTTGGTTAGGACTCCCATATGTTTAATGTCTTCCCTAGGATACCAGCTTTCCTAGCAAACAGGGCTCCCATGTCCAGCAGCCAGAAAGACCACCCTAAAAGATATCTTGGAGCCTTCCCTATGGGTTTGGGGTGTTTTTGATACTTCTGGCAATTGTCCATGTCCTGTATAACCTCTTTTCCCTTGGTCCCTGCTTTTTCACTTTTTTCTAAAACAGCTGGAAAGACTGAGAAGCCAAAGTGCTGAGGACAGGGGTTCTCACTGAGGTGAAATGTTCCCATTTCTGACCTACCTGTGGTTCTCCATTAGAGCAGGGTTTACCGATGTGGTGCCTAAGACACCCAGAGAGTTACTGCAGGGACAAGATCCTAACTAGCATGGGATGGGAAACAGTTATTGTTTTATCAGAATCACCGTAATGTTTTGTTGTGGGGGTTTTTTTCTCACCCAAACCAATATAAAGTATTGATTTCTCAAAAATGTCCGCAAACTCAGAAATGAGCTGCTGTTCCTCTCCTTGTCTTCTTTCTGTCCTGAGCAGAAGTGGCCTAACTGAAATCAGACTTTTAAAAACTGCAATGATATTTTAACCTTTGAAAGAATTTTTCATTTATGTTACTAAATGAAAATTAAAAATCTGGAGGATTTGTTTGGGTTTTTTTCACTAGCGTTTATCAAAATGCATCATTATAATAATGAGAATAATTTGTTTGCTTATAATAAGGTGTCTAGTACAATTTGAGTTTCCCTGGCCCTTACATGAACATCTTATACTGTACACATAATATTTAGGTAAATAGGGCTGAAGTCGATTGCCTAAAAGCTGGTCTCTAGCACCATTTCTGATATCCTAAGGTAGCTGAGACATTCTCACAGAGATGAGGATCTAAGAGACAGGACCTGTGGGAAACTTGCACATTTCTGGATCTGCAGGTGGAAGCCAGGCTAGATGCCCAAAACATCTCAAGTGACTGTGTGCACTGAAATGCTCCTCTAAACTGATATGAGATTAATCCACTACAGCTCTGCCTGTTGGAGCTGCCTCTCTACCTATTAGCTTCATTAATACATCATTTCAGTAGCTGTTAAGTGAGGAACACCGCTGAAATTCAGCTACTTTGCAGTGCAGAAAAACAACAAGCAAAATTCAGTGTTATCTTGAAAAGAGCATTTGGATGAAAGGTGCAAGAGGGCAAATCTATATCAGTAAATTCAACACCACCAGGGCAACATTGTTGGGACCTGGTTATTTTTACTTTTAACTGGTTAGGATGGACCGTGAGTGTAGCCTGGCTGAACTATCCCTGTGTGAAAAATTTCCTAAGCATTGTTTGGTCATTGGTTGGTCATTGTTTGGTCATTCAAAGTCAGGTTGGACGGGGCTCTGAGCAACCTGATCTAGTTGAAGATGTCCCTGTTCATTGCAAGGGCATTGGACTAGATGACCTTTAAAGGTCCCTTCCAACCCAAATGATTTGATGAATTTATGGTTGATTCTGTGATTCTGTGATTGATTCTATTATTCTATTAACATTGGCCAGGGACTATTCTCAATACGCAGTTCTGATTCCACCTTGTTGGATGCTCAGAGGGTTTAGCAGCACAGATATGGCCAAACCATGCCAGTTGTGCTGTGGCTCAGAGACAGCACCTCGGCATTGCTTAATTTCCTAGTATAGATGCAGCCATACATCCATGTAGAATAACCAGGTCTTGTTGTTCAAGATCCTGATCTAGGAGAGTGAATAAACCACACAGAATGGGTTTAATTTACCTGAGAAAGTGGGAGCCAAACCTTCTGGGACGGGAAAAAGTAGCAATGCTGAAGAGCCTAGGGCACGGAGCCTCTTTTGGCCTCTCTGAAGTCAGCAACTCTGTGTCAATCTGCATCAGCTGAGGATCTGTCCTACGGTGTTTCAGAACTGAAACTCCTACCAAAACCAACCTTTGAAGCTGTATGTAGTCTGCTCTTCTGCTCTACTCTTTTCTTCTCTGTTTCTCCCATAGGTAATAAATAGTTTAGAGAGCAAATCTTGAATTTCACTATAGCAAAATGAGTAAACTCTTCCATGTATGTGAGTGCATTTATATTTATGTGCGTGTGTGTATTTCTTTTTTTCTTTTTCTGTCTCCTTCCCATTTGTAGTTTGATCACTCATGGCTTTGGAACTCCTGCAATATGTGCTGCCCTAAGCACTTTCCAAACTGTTCTCAGTGAAATGCTGAACTACTTGGAAAAGCACACATCGCACAAAAACGGAGGAGCGGCGGAATCCGGCCAAGGACACGCCAACTCTGAGAAAGCCCCCCTGCGGAAAACTTCAGAGGCTGCTGTGAAAGAGGGCAAAACAGAAAAGACAGACTAGCTACATCAAACAGAATCTATTTCAAGAGAGTCTTGCTGCTGATATTTTTTTTAAATATATATATCATTGAGGGCAATTTATCTCCAGTGGACCAAATCCAAAAAAGGGGGAAAAAAGAAAAAAAAAAAAAGAAAAAAAAATCAAAAAAATAAAATTAAAAAGAGAAATATTAAAACAGAGGGAAATAGAGAGCGTGAGAGAGGAAAATATTCAACCCTAAGAACAGCAGTGTACAGTAATTGTGTGATGAAAATGTCACTTTTTAAAAATTTATGTTGCTCTATACTTTTTCGTGCACGTAGTATTTGATTGTTCTGAATGATACACTAACACTGTTTTTATAAGCACTTCTGGACTTGGCTGAGGTGGCACATGAATTTTGAAGCACTTTCTTCTCCGGCAGCACAGTTAGGGCCAGCACATCGGTTGTGGGACACACAGTTCCAGCATCCTGGTTTTGCTTGCATGCTGGATAGATTGAAAGAAGGGCTTCCTCTGATCCATCAGAAATTCCTGATCTACTCACCATTGGGAAAACAATATGGAAACCTGGCAAAAGAGGAATTCTTGGGTCGTGGGACAAAATGAACCGTTGATGTTGGGGGCTGCTCATCCCTACGTGGGAATGTACAATAAAGCTGCACTGGAATGAGGCCAGAACCTGTTGGGAATCTGTCCTGACCATTCAAGCAGCAGCCATGGTGTCTCTTGTGAAAAGAGCATGGCAGACTAAAATGAAAAAAAAAACCCTTGACAGTTTCAGTAAGAGCCCTGATCCCCCTGTGAACTTCAGATTAAATGACAGCATGGGCTTCTGTCCTCTATCTTCTCAGCCCCTGGTCCCACAACTCTGCAGTCTGCCACACCTGGGTCTCTGTTCAACAGGATCAATGCAGGCAATTGGAGTCACCTTTTGTGTTGCCTTGATTTTATGATGCTTTCTTTTCTTCAACAGCTTGTTTCTGCAGCTTTATTGTCTTTATAAATCCAGCTGAGGTGCAGAGGTCTAACAGAATCCACTCACTTAATGAAAAGAAAATAAAATAAAACCAAAATGACAAGACAGATTGGCTTGGTCCACAGCAGCCTAATGGTAATAACCTTGCTAATGTACTTTTGAAATATTACTTTACCACCTATCACATATCCTCACTCAGAAAACATTGAAGGCATAATCTGAGCTCAAGCCTCTTTGAGTCAAGAGGTTTTTTCCAGCCACTTTCTAACTTCTTCTTCAACAAGACTTTTATTCCATTCCTTTTCTTCTTTTTCTGACATCATTTTCTTGAGAAAGTTAGGAAGGACTGGTATTACAGGGTGGGGTTATGCTGGCTATCTAAACTCGTTTTAAGATCAGCAGAACCAGACATTTTCTTCCAAGGGAAAATTCATCTCTTTCTATGGTAGGAAATAATATTAGTTGTCCACGTGTAAGTGCTTAGAACCATTTGAGACGTTTTAGGGTATATAAGACAGCCACAGAGTTTTGACAGATATGATGTGAAAACTAATTGGACTCACCTGGAGGAGGAGCTGGAGGATCCCAGAAGACAGCACTAGATACCTATGGGTGGCCACTTGACTTGCACACCAGTTGCCTAGGACAGGTAGAAGGGATCATCTGGAAGTGCCTGTCACACTCCACAGATAATAGTTGGACTGTATTGGTGGCATTTTACCTTGTACGTGACTACAACTGGATTAACCACCTTCCACTCCCTATAATCAGTGGAGAGAAAAAGGCACTTACAGTATGCAGTTTATCCCACCTCAAAGCAATGATGAATCGTGCCCTGAAAATGTGTGCTTTTCTCAACTAGGTATAAAGGAAGGTGAAGATAGATGCACTTATACACATGTCTACATCTGGCTTGCTAGAACTAGTTAGCATGCATTACCTCTTGGATGACTTTCTTTAGACTTCTAGGGACTATGAAAACTTGCCAAGGGCATTTACAGCTATGATGTAGGGAGTGAAACTGAATTAACAAGATCAGCCTCACCTTCCAAATGTGTGGAAGGAAATAGAGCACTTATGGCATGATCCTGTTCCTCTTAAGGTCAGTAAGGACATTGCCCTCATGGTGAGAAAACACTCTAGAAACTAATGAGTCCCTATTTGCTTGCATAAGGAAATCTAAAAAAAAAAAAAAGAATCCTATGATTTTGCCCAGATTTGTCCTTGTTCACAGTAGGTATATAACTTAGATACCTACTTTAGTGCTATCTAGGCACCCTCTATGCATTGAGGGAAATAGATATATCTCCATGGGATTCCACCTGCTTAAGACGCTAAGATCAGCTAAGTGCCTAACAGAACTTAAACTTTACTGAATTAATTTTTCACTCCAGCACCTCTGCAGAAGTCAATTGAATGATCCTCAGAGACGTCTTCGATAGAAACATTGTGGAACTGTTCTAGAACATGAAATACTTGCGTGTGAAAGTAGGTAACCAGGACTGAAAGTGAAAAGGAAACTCATTCTGCTTTTTCTATTGCCCAAACTGAGGGAGAGAAAGGGAGAGTGGGTAAAAAGTAAAAATTTGACTGTGTCAGATGTGCACATTTGCCACACAAAAATGTATTGTAAAGGAATTTAATTGTGGTCCTCTACTTCAAGATGTGAATAACTTTAAATCAGGTTTTGATAGAGGGGAAAAAATAGAAGAAAAAATGTTTTAAATCCTTTTCAATTTTTTTCACTAAAATATAAATCTTCTGGAGAAGGAGGAATGACTGGCTGTGTAGATTGTTCTGTAAACCTGTTAAGAAAGCATAATTTTATTACAATCAAATTCAAATGTCTGATATTGGAAATAGTATGTATACAGCATTGTTTGGAATATTTACCTATTCAGGATATGGTCTGCGGTCCCAACAATAATTTATTTAAAGACTTGCATCTTTTGTTATTACATAATCACTATGAGCCTCTGCTCTGCAGGCAACAGATTGTTTTTTACCTGGATTACCATTTGATCTATTAATATTAATAAACCTGAGCACTCTTGAAGCCCCAGAACTTCCAGTTTTTGAGTTGATGATCCCTACATATTTTTGGCAAGGTTCAATACAGATCTGATTCAACCTGATTGAACTGCCATATATTCTTACCATTAAGAGACTACATGCATTTATATCCCCATCCTTCTGGTTTTCCCTTTAGTATCTTAGCACATTTTAAAAGCAAAGTTGTTTTTAAAAGGAAGCTGTGAGGTTTGTTGACATTCTCTGCTATTTATTTTTAACTGTACTTAAGAATTTTATTGAGAGAAAAAACAATTATTACTGCCTTTTCTGCTGAACTAGCTATCAGAGAAGTTTGGTGTCAAAATGCCTTTGGTTTTTTAATTTAGGACTTCCAGTGTGATTTTAAACAATGAATTCACTGATGTTCCTGTTAGAATCTCATCCTAAATTCTCACCCACTTATACGTGCCCAATGTTCCCATGTTGTCTTTTTTTCTTTCTTTTCTTAGTCCTTGTCTCTAAAGTAATGTTGCAATCTCAAAACACGTTCATGAATTAGAACAGCCTGAAGGAGGGGCATAGTTTGATGTTAGTGGGTGCTCACTGGTAGCAAATTCAATATATTTATACCTTTTTGACTTTGAAATTAACCTGATCTGAAAAAAAAATAAAGAAGTTCTCCCTTTGAGAGGTCATGGAATTGTTTATTCCATTCAGGTCAAAAGGATCAAAGGAATACAGAAAAGTGTCCAAACTTCCGTGGCCAGGACAATGAATCATTATGATTTTTGAAACTCCAAAAATAGATTCATAGCTCAAGTGTTGTCTGAGTATTTGGATCCTGTTGTACTTCAGCCCATTGCTTAGCTTTGTATGCGTTACACCTTTCCCACCACAAAGCTCAAAACACTTTAAGTAGGTCTCTGAACTTACTTCTTATACTAAGCCCTGACACATTTGACTTACGAAGACCGGCTGTTGATACTTGGATTTATCAGCAAATCACTTGTGGAGTAAACACACTGACTAACCGCATACCTTTCTTTCTAGAGCAAGGTATTGCTCACTGTGAGTACAAACAGCTCATGTGTCGACTAAGCTTAGAAGGTAAGTCTCTGGCAGAGCTAGGAGTGACATTCTCACCTTCAGCCTCTGTCCTAAGATTTGGATTGCTGTTCACAGTCCTCCATTAGTATCATTACACGGCAGAGATGTGTAGCGAAGGGGGAATTTTATGCAGCTGATGAGAACTGGAACAGCATTCCCATGGCCTGTAAAGGGGGGTGAACCACAGACAAGCAGTGAGGACCCTGCCACCTACAACTGAAGACTCTCCAGAATTTTGTCCTTCGTGCTGCCATCTTAAACCTTAACTCCTTCTAGGTGTCATTCTGTTGCCTTGGAGAACTGGAACAAGAGGTGAATTTGGACCTTTAATTTACTTCTTTTTTAAAGGTAAACTCCAACAGTCATTGGGAAAAGACTTCAGCTCTCCAAATCAACAAGGAATCTGCTCTTTGAAGTTTCTCTTTAAGTCTCTTCCTAAAAACAAAAAAATCTGCTAGAAAGCAGGCACAATGTATAGTCCTTCCAAATCCTGGACCTCTGTGTAAATATTACCCCAGCTCATCTCTTCCTTTGAACATGACTCAGTGGCACAGCTGCAGCTCACAATTTTGCAGCAAGGCTCAAGAAGGTTTATTGTCCTAAGAGCCAATTTCTCTAACTGCTTGTTTGTTTGTTTGTTTGTTTGTTTCCTAATACGAACAAGCAGTTTTGGTCTTAGATGTCTTAGCTATCCAAAAGGGCTGCTGATTAATTACAAGATCATTTGATTTTCATTTATCCTTGGGAGATATAGTTCTGCTGCTCTAATTCTTTATTTTTAAGGACAAGAAGAAACAGCATTAATAGAAGACACAAGCCTGCAATGCAAGGAAGAATCAATAAACATAATTATACCGTAACTGTATTTATAAAAATATCCTTTGCCTCTGCCCTCATCACAGGTTCAACAGGACTTCAAGTA